TTTAGGGTTTAGGGTTTAGGGTTTTAGGGTTTTAGGGTTTTAGGGTTTAGGGTTTAGGGTTTAGGGTTTAAACACCCGAAGAGCCGCCTTCGCACCATCGATGCACAGTACGCCCACAAACCTCTTTCTGGGGTTTAGGGTTTAGGGTTTAGGGTTTAGGGTTTAGGGTTTAGGGTTTAGGGTTTAGGGTTTAGGGTTTTGTTGCAGGTATGCGTTGCTGCCGTCTGCTTACTATGAGCTGCTGGACTCGGAGTGGTCGCTCATTGTAGCAGCAGCAGAGCAGCAGCTGCTGCTGCCTGCAGCAGCAGAGCAGCAGCTGCTGCTGCCTACAGCAGCAGCAGCAGCACCACCAGCTGAACCCGCAGCAGCAGCAGCAGCAGCAGCAGCAACAGCAGCAGCAGCAGCAGCAGGAACCCTTGGTTCTAAGGAGACAGATGATACCGTGGCGTATGAAGAAGCAGCAGCAGTGATGCAGCAATCTGCTGCTGCATCAGCAGCAGCACGCGTGCAGCTAGTAGCTTTTCACCTGCAGCAGCAGCAGCAGCAGCAGCAGCTGCAGCAGCAGCAGCAGCAGCAGCAGCAACTTGTGTGGTTATCCTGCGGCTCTTTGCCTTTCACTTCAATGCCCGATCTGCTGCTGCTGCTTGTGGGGCTGGTGCGGCTGCGCTGCAGCAGCAGCAGGCTGCTGGAGCAGCTTAGCAGCATCTTCAGCAGCAGCAGCAGCAGCAGCAGCAGCAGCAGCAGCAGCATGCAGCAGCAGCTAGAAGCGGGGCATCTCCCCACTCTCTTAGTTTGTCTCTCAAACGCCAGCTGGCGGTCTCTGCCCCCCCTGGAGGGTTTCTGTGCTGCTGTCGATAGATTGCTGCCCAAGGTAACCCCACACACCTCCTAGGGTTTAGGGTTTAGGGTTTAGGGTTTAGGGTTTAGGGTTTGGGGGCTAGGGTTTAGGGTTTAGGGTTTAGGGTTTAGGTTTACGGGGGACTTGTGGGCAAGGGTTGAGGAATTGATAGTTTGTTTTTTGCTGCTGGATCGAGGGTTTAGGGTTTAGGGTTTACGGTATC